GTGAGCTCAGAAATTATTACTTTTCCACACATTTTGACAACGAGACATTCACACATAGAACCAGTTTTAACCCGAGCTGGATGGATCTTAACTCCCGGTTTTTAGACAATATATATTACTTTTGATGAGAGTAAGGTCACACGATGATCTAAACTCAAGTGCGAGAGGGCATCTGTATTTCCATAGTTACTCGTTGTTCTATAACGTAATGTAAAATTAACCTGCTATAGCAACAGACTGCATCTACCTCATATGTCACTTTAGGAACACAATTATAGGGAAAGGACCTATCCACTTTCCGCTAAACTATTTTCAGGTATTGAATTTAGTACTGCAACTAACTATTTCTCCTTAAGTTTCTGTTCTCTAGCATTCTCATCATAGCAAAGTTTTTTGTGTATCCTTGCTCCTCCGAGTAGCTTTAACCACTAACTTCTGTGGGTTTGCTAACCTTTAACTCAAGCTGGTCACATATGGTAACACATTTCGTGACTTGGCTTTGCCTATGGACTAACTTATTTTTTTATAAGTCTAATGGACATTTAACATCTTTACCATATATAACTCAAGGAGTGAAAATCCTGTTGTAACTTGGAGGACTTCTCAGTAGGTAAACAACAAAAAAGGCAACATCATATCCCAGTCAGCAGAAATCTCCTGCACCATTACTGCCTTCATTGTCCCATTTGCTCTCTCGCACATCTCATTTGTTTGGGGTTTATAAGGACCAGTGTGTTTCTGTCGCCATCCTGAATTCTTACATTATTTTCGTTTGAAAATTGCTACATAAATCATTAAAGGATTCTTCAGGAAACATTAACCGTGAAAAAATATCTATCAGCTCTTGTACAATTTCCTCTTCTTTCATAGAATCTAGTGCTACTGCGTCTACATATCTACTGGCAGAATCAATAACTATCCCTTTCTCTGTTACGGGAAGTGGTCTGATAATATTGGCACTGTTGGAAATAAAGGGTTCATTGGTACACACTAGCAATAATAATTTCTCCTGACTTAAGTTACGCTTGGTCCCTCTACCATGGCTTCACCATGGCATTTGTCCAAACTCTCATCTATTAACTTTTATTTAATTATTTGTTATTCATCCATATTCCTTTTTCTAACACCAATTAAAAATTCATCATTATATGTATTATATACTTGAAGATTTATTTCTTCACTAACTCCTATCCCTCTTTCAGAGTTTTCTCTAATCTCATTTGTTATCTGGCTCGACATTTCCATGTGACTTTAGCTAGTGCTACAGTATGTCGACCCCCCATACTGTGCTGTTAATTCCAATTAAATCTAATGTATCACCTGTGAGTTGATTATATTTTACTAACACTTTTCTAACCAGAGTTTTCCGATTACCAGTATTCCTTAATACATTTTGGCTTGCCCATTTATCACCCTTTCTTCTAAATATTTATATGAAATTTACTCTCCATCTTCAATATAACACATTACATTATTCCTTCTTTCTGCAGTTTTCTTACTTTGCCTAACGAATTCAACTACATGCTTAACTTGATCACATATAAAACAATTTATATATGTTTATTTAGAAAGTATTTACAAAGTCACTTTGTGGAAAGGGTCTTCTTGGAGTGTTGATCCAGTTTTATTTGTTTGTAATAAGTAGTTCTACTAGCTGGATTTTCACTTACTTTTAACTCACTATGTTTCCTAGTCACTACATATTCATCTGCTAATGCCACTGTCTCACATGTGTTTGCTGGATTCCTATCTTTTAAACATATTACTAATGGTGTTATTAATTTTGCCAAAATTTGCTCTTGCAACATCAACAATAAATCTACAATTTTATCAACGTCTCCAGTAATCTCATATCTTTCAATCCATCTAGCAACTCTTGCAACCTTGTTTTATACTCTTTAAATGCCATTTTTTCTAACTCTCTGAACTTCATTAGATAAGTCTCCAGATTTAACTGACACGTCTCTAAAATAGTTTGTTTCACTACATCATACTATGATTTGTCTGTGCTTCCATTCTTATTTTATGTTGTTATCGCTTTCCCAGGTAATGTAGGAAGTAATTTCTTCATCATATGTTATGGATAGTATTCCTCTGCTCTGTCTTCTACCCATCATCAACTTAAATTCTCTCTTCTTATGCCTATCTTCTAACTCTTGCTCTAAACGTTTTTCTCAGCTTCTTCTTCTTCCAAGCACTTCTAACTTTGTCTTAGCAAATTATAAATTGTTACCATGATAACCTTCACAGACACTACTCGCAGTTCCCCTATTTTCACTAAGCAGAAGGTTAGAAAAATAATCTACTATGATTTCTGTCTCAACTGAAACTTCACGTGTCTCGTCTTTTTTTCCAATTACTACTACATGTTATACTCAGTTTTCTACATTTATTTACCAACTGGATTTTCATCAGTAATTTCCAATTCTCATCCATGCTAGCGTTAATTCACTTCTCCTAAACAATGAACAACACATTTGATATACAACAAGAATTAACTGAACCACTAGTAAAACCAAACCAGCTAAGATAAAAATAAGATCGGAGACTTACTCTTTTTCCCGATTTCATCTAGTTGATTTTCCTCTCTGGCTTCTGTTGATGTGGTCCCAACTTCAAATTCTTCTTTCATTGTTAAGTTTCGATTCCTAACAAAACGATGAATCCCATATCTGACACAACTTTGTTACGATCGTGTTATCCTCGCACTTCACTTCTATTCTTATATCTTATTCACTTTGTTTTGGTTGTACTTATTCCTATCAGGAATTGACTCATACCAATGTAAACATAACAAATTGCTGTTTATTGACATAATCAGTAACACATCGACTTAGAACTAGGTTTTATTTCTTACTTTTTTCACCTTTCTCAATTTATTCATTCTCTCTCACTTATCCCAATCTACTTCTTTCGTTGAACACCTACTTTTTATTTTATTTTCTTAATCTCATGTTGAACGGATCCTTTTCAAATCTGGAATTTGAAATTTACAAAATGGAGATATCTGTTGTACTTAATACCATTGAAAAATAATCAAATATAAATCAATTTGGAGGATCAGAACTATCCAGAAAGAGATTTGCAATAAATAATATCTCAGCTGTGGTAAGCAAAGTAAGGATCCACGAATACAAAAGTTAGTGGTAAAAGCCGCCCACATATGCCAAGGAAAAGTACACAGCATAATCAAGAAGGACTTACTTTTAAAAACTAGGCCTACAAGGTTATGAAAACTAAGCAAGAAGGTGTGGTGTGCTTTGGACATGAAATCTTACAACCTTGTCAAGATGCAGATTCATCAGATTGTGCGTGAACTTACCGTCGACATGGACTGTACATGTGTGGTGAGACTCCAAAATAATTTCAACCTCTGTACAAGTTACAGATTTGCGGTTTTAGGATGATAAAGTAATCATACCCGCACTCTACTGATAATAGAAAAAAGTCACAAAATTTGTAGACCATCAGCAATCTCTCTGAAAAAGACCCTTGTGAAGCTTTGGGCTTAACAAGAAACAAAAAAACAACAACAAACAAACTCTCTGAAAAAATATTTAATTGTCTACCTTCACAGACAAAGATGATATGCAATATAAGTTATGTGCACAAACAAACTTTTCTCGAAGGTTAACCAACAGGGAACACATAGGAACTTTGTACAACTAATTTAGTGAAATAATTCACACAGGACTGGTACAACGATAAGTCTGTGGAATTATATCGTTAGAAACCAGGTTTTGATACCCGTGGTGAGCAGAGCACAGATAGCCCTTTGTATAATAAACAACAACAACAACAACATGAAGGATTTATCAAGTAGTTCTTAGAAAATACAGAAGTTAATTAAAGGAATAAACAAACTCAGTCTTAATCGGTGTAAATAGTTAGAAATAAATGAACGGATTTCACTCGTGAGGTCTACTAACAAATCTTCTTGTGTTTTGGTTTGAATTTCGCGCAAAGCTACACGAGGGCTATCTTCGTTAGCCGTCCCTAATTTAGCAATGAAAGCAGCTAGTCATCACCACCCACCGCCAACCCTTGAGCTGCTCTTTTACCAACGAATAGTGGGATTGACCGACACATAATAACGCCCCCACGACTGAAAATGCGAGCTTGTTTGGTGGGACGGACATTCGAACCTCGACCCTCAGATTGCGAGTCAACTCCCCTAATCATGTGGTCATGGTCATCTTGTGATCCACGACGCTATTTTAATGTTTTACATATGTATCCCACTTCCCTAAATCTAAATCAATCAATATTTGTGATATACTGTTTGTAAGAGTAACGATCATCACCATTGTCTTCTTATCTTAAACCTATGAAACAACATCTGTTACGATGATACAATTCAATCTATATGGCGGCATTTATGTTATTAAAGAGCATAATATTTAATAATTCATAATTTACACTACAGAGTTATTAAAAAATAAATTGAATGTGTTTTTACTTTTTGTCCCGATCAATAAATTACACAAAAAGCCATTTTACTCACCGCTCTGTTACAATAAAACTTATCACTTGTATCTGTCGGCGGGTGTGGCCTTATGGTTAGTGTAGCGAGCTATGGATTCAATGATTTATTATTCGCTTCTCGATATCACACACACACACAAATAATAATCGCGCCTTGTACTATGGGTCTTGGGGTGGAAACATTTCAAGAATGACGGCCCAATCCAATTATTCTATTACAGTAGCCCAAGAGTTGGAGGTGGGTGCTTTTGGCTAGCTGTCTTCCATCTAATCTAACACTTGAAGATTAGCGAATAGCTTTTGTGTAGCTTTGTGCGAATATTCGAAATAAACACTTGTATCTGTTATTTTACAATGTTGTTCTTGGTTCAACACCAAATTTTAAAAGCATAAAATGACCACATATCAAGAAAATTCATATGTTTAGTTAGTTCATCAATAAACTAGGTTCTACGATGCAAACTTCCGTTCGTTTAGAATTTGACGAACTCAAAATTGTTGTTCTTTTTCTGTAGAATAATGTTACGAGCTGTAAGCTACACATTGCACGGCCTTGTACCCGCTTCTTGTGTCTGCGCCGACCGTTACGACAGAGAAGCAGTTGTTCGATCTCTTGGGCGCGAAGCCAACCTTAAACCACCTTTATTGCTGGGACAGTTGCCATCAACTCCAGATGAACTGCTGAAAATTGATAAAGTAGGTGATAATGTTTAGGTGTATTCTGAAGAAACATCACAAAACCTCAAATATTTTAGATAGAGCTAAGGTATGTAGGGACGACATTTGAACACGCTATTTTTACTGAACTTTTAAAGTTGTATAATAAAGTTTCTCTATTCTTGAAACAGAGGTTTAAGATTTGTTACAAACATATATTAGGCCCATTTGTAACGTTGTACAGCGAACTCTTCATTCATATTTTTTCAGAGAAAATGACAATGTTAAACGTCTTAAAATTTGTTGAAAATTTGGAATGTTAGATTACTTAATATATTTTAAGAGACTTCTAAAATAATCCTTTCTTAAAGCATAATCTTCTTAAATTACTTTCCAAATATATTTGTCACATTTGAGAAATATTTCTTCATAAGTAGCCAGAGGAATCATAAAGTGCTAAGTTTATAAGGTGTTGGAAAAGTTTGCTTTTATTTTTATTTGGAGATAACGTTTAATAGATATAAAAGTTATGTAAATATATAAACATTTGCACTATAATGGAAATAAAAGCCCCCTCTATATGTACAAACCTTACCATTTTATTCACTAACGTATAGATAATAAGATAAACATTACTCCAATTGCAGCTAAAAGTATCTAAAGATTCATAAGAAGCAAATAAGCTTTGCGATTCACAGTTACAGCCACAAAAGATTAAATGGGATGTTCTTCGTCCAAACAAACATAGGAAAAATTTAATTGGCGAAATATATAACAGAATCATCATACGGTTTTGGAAAGGTTTGCTTTTTTTCCTTATATATTTGGAGTTATTAGCATTAATAGATATTAAACCTATGTGAATGTACAAACCTTTGAAGAGCAATACAAGTAAAAGAAAGAAGAATACGTTGACCGAAAACATATTTACTAATAGCACATTTATATTATCAACCATTATTTCTCCGACCATTATGTGGCAGAAGAAGTGGTTGTTGAGACGTAATGTTTTGTAGTTTGATTGATTCTGTTTATTTACTTTGTAAAGCAGCAAAGTTTAAACAAATTATAATTGCTTTTAGTATCAACATCTTCTCAATCTATTGAAATATCAAATGTCAATTATTTATTGTTAAGTTGAAACTAAACTGGTAAATAGACAATTTGGAGGCTGAGTGTATTCATTAAAAATTATACATTCATAAAACTAAGCAATCTTCTATCATGCACGTTATGATCTATGATTTAGATCTTCTTATACACAAATACATCCACTCTTGATTTTTCATTTATTCGTTACATTTTTAATTGGAAACAATGTAGCTAATTCGCAGCATAGATAAAGGTCCTTCATCTGCAATGCTAGAAAAGCAAAGCAATAAATAAGACTACAGTCAACTTATAGAATTATGTAAAGTCATTACCAAATCTAAAAATAAACGAATAAATCGAATTTGTACTATAGAAAAAGAAATTAAGGTTAGAAATATCAACAAGTATACCGATCTAGAGTTATATTAAGTAGATTAATTAGATTGTAAAGAAAAGGTAGTATAATAATAATACAAACATTATCCAATCTCATTAAATGGGAATGAGTAGAAAAAGTGTATAATTAATTAGTTTTCGAATAATTAAAGGTTTTAAAAAATATTCACATACAACAACTATCTCTTTATTTAATTGCATTATATTAATGGATAACCATGAAATATTCAATTTGGTAAAACTTCCATTGTTGTTTTTTTATATTTATTGCAATTTGTTAAATGTCGAGACTTGATTTTGTGGACTTTTAAGAACAATTAATGTATACCTTTTCCAAATACTTTTCTCATCAAGGTGTTTATAAAGTCGGAATTGAAAGTAGGTGTGATCTACGTCAAAGAAGGACAACTGACAGAAGAGCATATTCTGGACAATCGAAAGCACAGTGTTTTGTTTGAGGAATTTCTGATGGTATTAGGTGATCGAATTCGATTAAAAGGTAGTTATTTTCATCGGTCAAGAATATATCTTAAACTTATAATTCGAAGTTACAAGCAAACTGAAGTGGGAATTTATTGTTATAGAAAAATACCTTATACAAACTAAATATGACATATATCAAATATACATTTCTACAATATAAAAATAATTTAAAAGTACCAGCTTCCAAATAGCATGGCCTGGCATGATAATCAGAATTTCAATAAATATTTTACCCAGCAAGCTTATGTGAAAAACCTCATGATTCTCATTATATGTTTGATAAATACGGATTACAATTACTACTATACATTTATGATAAATTAATTCTGTAATGATTCATAATATTTTTATTATTTTCAGATAGAAGTATAATTGTTTACCAGTATTCCATCGAATATTGTATGAGTTTTTATTTTGTGGGACTTAGCCCTGAAGTGTTTGTAACTATAAAGCCAAGTTCTTCAAATTATTCAGACTTTTGCTAAATGTTTATAAATTGATTCAGTGTTTAAGAGTATTTTCTAAAATATATATATCTAATAATTACTGCTTGGAGTTTTATATAATAAGTAAATATTTTCACATATAAATTAAAATAATTAATTTCCGCGAAAGGGGGCCGAAGGCCGCCTGGAGGGTTCATATGTTTTAACCACTCGCACAGTAATGTGTTTTCTGTCTGTCAGTCAGTAGACATTAATACGACGTCACATAAGGGACGCTTAACGTAGCAATTTCTACTGTCGTGACGTCGAGAAAATGTGTGCATACCATGAATTATGATAAGTGTTATGCACTCTGTAGGCTACAATACATAGTGACATATGAATTTCAAAAGCAAGAAATAAAAATATTTGTTACTCTTAATTTTAGTTTTATTTAGTCTTGAAACAGAACATTTTCGGGGACCCTGCGGAAGTACATCTAGTACATTAACAATTTCAACAAATTCAACTTGTTTAGAACGAATATAAAGTCTATATATATATATATATATGTATTATAAGTGAAGTGTAACTGTTCTCTAGTTAATACAACAGTTATACACTTCTCGAC